GTGTGTGTGTGTGTGTGTGTGTGTGTGTGTGTGTGTGTGTGTGTGTCTGTGTGTGTGTCTCTTACCTACGGTGGCGTAAGCATCTGTGATCAGTGTGTGTATGTGATGGACATCTCTGAGCAGATCTGCGTCACCAAACGTGAAGTACATCAGATCACGCTCCGCCTCCGCAGCCGCCATCATCTGCAGCACAGCTAAACACACACACACACACACACACACACACAATCAAATATCCTCACAAACGCTCTTCATCACTCTCTTTGCTTCCATTCTCAGTTTGTGTGTGAAGATCTGCTGGAACACATGAATCAGTCGATGGCTGATGTCAGACGTGAGCATGAATGAAGCCTTTAACTTTCACACTAATGAACACTAACAGATCAGTAGAAGAGTCCGGTGGCATTCTCTAGGTAAATGAGTGAAACAGAGAGCTTGTTTGTTTGGCATTTGGGGTTTAGTGATGTTCACTTTGATCATAACTTTTTATTTTAGGTCATACCTTTCAGACGCGTGTCTCCACCGAAAGCTCCACAGCCCCAGTTACCGGTCGCGACGGCGGACAGATTCTCCGTCTGGACTCCAGGACGAACAAACCCACAGAAGGCCTGATGGGACGGACAGAGATATGAGTGAGGGCCTGGCAGATAATACTAACTAACCCGTCCCGTCCCTAACCTAACCAACCTTCACACTAACATGATTAAAGCACAAGAGCTGATCTATGAGTGAGCAGATCTGTCCTCCAGTCCCTTCTCAACATCTTCACTACGTTTGTGAGGAACTGTACTATTATTATTATTACTATTTGTCCCTCATGTATCAGTGATATTGAGCGTCTGCAGCAGATTCATTCACTCTTTAAACTTAATGAACAGCTCTATGATCCACACTCAATCATTAATGCTTTAGTCTGTTTGTACACAATACAAATATGGAGTCATCATTCATTAGGTTTGAAATTAAACGGTAATTAAAGTTTCCAGTAAAGCGAGTGATGCATCACTGAAGTGCAGATGATCAAAGCGCCACATCAAAGAGCAGAAACAGATGCCCTCCTGCTCATCCGCTCGCATTAATAATGCACAAACCCACCACAGCAACTAAACCAGACCAGTTTAACAGCTGCTAACCGGAGTCACGTGACCACAGGGTGATTTGTTCAGATCCGTTCAGACGTTTCAGCAGTGATTTCATTTTTTACTGTTTAGATGAAGTGATTGGACAGATTTGACCCGCTGCTGTAGTGGGACATGTCAGTGACCTTGTTGAGTTCTCTGCTCATGTGTTCAGCGTGAAACTGCTCCAGGAAGTTTCTGTAATGCAGGGCGTCTATCGCCACGATCTCAGTGCATCTGCGCTTCCACTCGTCCCTGCAGACACAAACACAGCATCAGCGTCTCGGAGAAACACAACAGCAATCACTCACAGCTGTACCGCCTCACACCTCGGCGTCTGGTCGTCATGGTTACCATCCCAGCGGTAGGTATCGGAGTATCCCGAGTATCTGCTGAACTGCTCTGCACCTGTTAACACAACATCATAACACGCATACATGAGCTGAATAATGACAGCTGAAGCTGAATTCATTTCATAATTGATGAAATGTACAACACTTATGTCTGTGAATCTGCTTTGAAACTATCTGTAATGTATAAAATGTCACTTGACTCTTTATCAGTATTGTTTTGTTGTAAGTCCAGAAGAGTGAGGATGGGACGAGGGTTCAGGAAACCTGTTTGAAAACAGTCATTATGAAGCACACACAGAGCGTTTGGAGGCTTCAGACTCACTGAACACCATAAAGTCCCTCTGAAACACACTCATCTCAGGATCCCCAGCGAACATCTCTCAGCGTCTGAACATCCAGCATTCGCGCGGCGCACCTCCAATCATCAGATCCAGCCTTAACGTCATCTGCAGGCCACCGAGAGCTTCTGCAAATCCAATTAGAGAGTCCTGGCAGCGCAGGGTCTGTCCAGCCATCGATCCGCCGTAAAGAGCGAAGCGCGAGCTCCTCCGAAGATAAGCTCATTGTCTTTATTGGAAAGGAAATGAGATAAACGCATTCCTGCTGGGAAGAATTCCTCCTCAGGTGACCTTCAGGAGAAGCTGGAGAAGAGTCTGTCCTTTGTATTTCTGAAGTGTCTTTAGTAAATGATGCTGAGTCTCCGACAGACTGAAGAAAACAGAGTAAAGGTCATCGGTTGCATCTCATCTGTGCCAGAGCTAAAACGAGCATCAGTCCCACGAGAACATTATCATCTCAGGCTTAATGTCAGGCCTTTGTCTCAAACAGCAGCGTTTATTCAGTGAAGGCCTGTGATTGAAATGATTCAGATCGCATTCTGGAGATTCAGAGATCCGAACCGAAGGCTGTTTGATTTGACTTGCTCTATAACTGAACCCAGCACTTCTCCTTTCCGCAGGAACACATACGTTAGCTAGATTTAAAGCAGCAGCATTAATGCTTTCAGTGAGAGACACACTTGCCATTTGCCTTTGGTTTCCCGGCTGGAGATACGCATCGTGACTCACTCGCATCTCCATATCTGCTCTAATGCCACCCTGACAGCGGACAGACGCTCCGCAATCAACCGCAATTCAATTAGCCAAAGCCACTTTGGCAAATTTCAGTACAGCTACAAGAAGATCCATTTTAGGCATCGATGTCTAAGAGCCGAGCGGGGAGCATGATTTAGCACACAGCTCGAGAGAGAGATAGGGGACGAGACGCAGGGGCCGGGACATTTTAATAAAGGAGATGTCGTGGCCCCGTGCATTAGCAGAGTGACTCCAGCCGGATAATTAATTCTGCGGGACAGTAATAAAGTTAAGAGCCGTTAGTGGCGGGACAGAGAGGCGGGGCCTGAAGGTGACTCCATGGAGACGAGATGACGAGCAGCCGAGCCGAGAATACTGATGAAGAGCACAGAAACTCTCGCTCTTCAGTCACAGTCCACATGGAGGCCGAAACCTGTGCAATAAAACTCCTAAACTCTCACAGATTGCATTCTCATGACTATAGCAGATATTACCACAAACGGTCATCTTTTCTGAAGGTCCACAACTGTAGCTGAATAACAGTACATCTGAGACTGCAGTGACGCGCATCGCACCGCCTCAAACTCCACGTACTTCTGTTTCTGGATTTAGTCTGAGTGTGTGTGTGTGTGTGTGTGTGTGTGTGCCTGTCTGTCTCTGTGTGTGTGTGTGTGTGTGTGTGTGTGTGTCTGTGTGTGTGTGTGTGTGTTGAAGGGGGGTTGATGAGGAGCCCAGATTTCACAGCAGGAGCAAAACACTCCTGCTCAAGCTTGTTTAATTCACACACACATAAACACACACATAAACACACACACACACAATTCTCCCGGTCAGATGGACATGTCCTGATGTCCTGCAGCTGTCGTTACACTAATCTGTGGATTGCTGGTGAAAACGGTTTTACACACCGAATGCGAATAATTTGCACTCTAAGACTGTAGATAAAGCTCCTCACATCGACGCATGTCTACAGGGTTTAGAATACGTTGCTAACACAGCGCATCTAAAAACTTTTGCATCTGATGCCCATCTTTCTGCTGTGCATGTGTGTGTGTTCAGAGACAGACGAGTGATTGAAAGAGTCTCAGCAGGTCTGGAGGTTCGAGTGCTGATTACAGTCTGAACACAAACACCACAGGAATCTCAGCGCGACCTTGTGTGTGTGTATGAGTGTGTGTGTGTGTGTGTGTGTGTGTGTGTGTGTGTA